GGTCACCCCACTTTACAGTATATCCTGTGAAGCGCTTTGAGACGTCTCGAGGACGATAAGGTGCTATATCAAATGCAAGTATTGTTGTTATATTATTATTATTGTTATTATTATTAGCAGCAGAACGCCAAGCTGAGGGCTGGGTGGGGAACATATGGATTTCACCTCTCGCTCAGTGAGTTCAGCTCCAGCCCTGACTGATGGGTTAACAGCCTCTGAGTTGTGTTGGGTATAAAGGGGCCTTTTGTGAAACAGCCTCGCAGACAAAATTACCTTTAAATTGTCAATAATTGGTGTTAAATTAGCAATCGCATTCAGAGAGGCCATGAGGCGGGGTGGGGGGGAGATGTGTCACCTGAACTCGACAAATACCTTAAAAAGAGTCGACTACAAGGTTAGCAACAACACTGACAACTTGCGTTTGTACAGTGCCCCTCACGCAGGATGGTGTCCCAGAGCGCTCGACAGTGACAGAGCCCGATGCTGAGCTGGGGGAGAGGTGACCGTAGAGGTGGGGGGGGGGTGGAGATCTGGTGAGTCAATTCACTTGACAGTATCTCCTGTGAAGCGCTTTGAGACATCTCGAAGACCAGATAAGGCGCCGTATCAAATGCAAGGATTGTTAGTACAAGTCGCAGTAATATTAGTATTAAATGCAAGTTGTTGTTGTTGCACTCGCCGGGCACGTGGGGCCCCTTCATTCATTGTCTGAATGGAAGGCAGAGAGTGTAGTGCAGTCTGCAGAGGAGATGGTCTGGTTAGCTTCACCTGAGTGAGTGAAGCCTGGCTCCCAGCACAGGAATCCATCCACCCAGCTCCCTGGTGAGGAGAGGCAGCGAGTCTTTACGTCCTCCCTCCCGCCCGCCCTCAGGTGCCTCACATTCACGGCTTTTGTCATCAGAACAATGGCTTTTTTTTCCTTCTGTTTGTTTCATGTCGCCTGGGTTTACATCGCCATCAGCGCCGTGTAACAGTACTCCATTACAGGGTTACAGTGTCACAGTGTGAGCTTGTCACAGGCTTTAATAATAATAATAATACAGCGCCTCATCGCGTCTTCGAGACGTCTCAAAGCGCTTCACAGGATACAGGTAAGCGTAGTGATTGTGCGTTTTGTGGGCGAAATGCGGCAGCCAATTGTGTGCAGTGTAGCCCCACCTAAGATCGTGGGGAATGCGGGGGCCTCTGGAGTCTTGACAAAAAAGTTATCAGCAAACAATGTGCGCGGCACAAGGTCAGACACAAGGACCTGCTGCTGTGGGGGGGGGGGGGTTAGTTTGAGAGATTTCCAGGAGCCTTTGTTTGTCAGGAGAGGAAGTGTGTTGGGTTCAGTCCAAGGTGGAGTGTGCTGGGGAAGGAAAGGCTCTGATGCACCCAATGGCCATTTCCTGTCTCCATTGACTGGGGTCAGACCACCCGTCACATGAGCTGATCTCAGCCGGGCCAGCACTAGGGGGCGCTACAGAAAGTGTCTGTCTGGCCATTCCTCAGGTGACTCCCACAACAACAACTTGCACTTGTTTAGTGCCCTCCCAGGCCGGGCAGCGTCTCAGAGCACTTTCTTGGCCGGAATGTGGGCAATGTCTGGAAGGTCATATCTCTGGGGTTAATTGGTTTAAAGGCTAATCTCCCCGTGGGCTGTGTTGTTTGTGGATGAAGGGCTCCTCACAGAGCATTTTAATCCAATCACACAGCTGGGGTGGGTTTGACATCCCATTGGTGTGTGAGAGGATGGGTCACAGGGTCTCTGGCTGTGGGCGGAGGGGGGGGCAATGGATACTGACAACAACCCCAGGAGACGGAACATTAGTGACCTGTTACCCTGCAGCATCCTGTCAGCTCACCCTCTCCCCAACTACCCTGGACTGTAACATGAGGATTCCTGACATTCCATTACAATTCCCGGTCAGTCTGTGTTCAGTCCCCACCCACCAACAACAACAACAACTGACATTTACACAGCGTCTGCCTTTCATGTCCGGAGGACGTCCCAAAGCATTGAATAGTCATGGATTTGGACCTGAGCTGGGAGTTGGGATCAGGAGGAATGGAGGGCAGGAAGGGTGGGGGTGTTAGGAGGGTGGGGGGGGGTGACCCAGGCGGCTTGTTCATTATTACTTAAGAAGATCAACACAGTTTGTGCCAGCGATATGCAGAAAGGAATCACAGAGGGAGCGAGGGAGGGAGGGAGCGAGGGAGGGAACGAGGGAACGAGGGAGGGAGGGAACGAGGGAGGGAGGGTGGGAGGGAGAGAGGGAGTAAACTTCAAACAGTGAGTTCCAGGCCTCTCGGCCTCATTGATAAACGCGGATTGGTAACATTACAGAGACGATGGCATCATTTGATTCCAGGATCACAGCAATTAAGGACCCAGAGGCCCTCATTACTGTCCATGCTTCACTCGGGTAATGAGCAGCTCTGGGCAAACACTGACCATTAGCGCCTGAACTCAATTAGATTATTACTTTAATTAAAATCACTGGTTCCGCACTTTGTTAAAAATTTTATTTGCCAGAATATCTTTAACTGCAGACTCTGCTGAGACTGGCGACTTGTCTCTGTGGTGATGGATTCACTGAGGTGGTGGGAGACTTGGGTCTGATTTAGTTTTGGGGGTTTGGGGATCATTTCCATCAGCCGATGGCCTGGGTCCATCTCGCTGCTCCGTGTTTGCCTACAGATATACAGTCACTACACTACAATGATGTCTTCTAGTGTGTATTGGTTGAGCCCTCGTCTCGCAAGCGAGGGGACCTGGGTTCGATTACCAAGCAGAGCGAAACCTTAGGCAAGTTTCCTTACTCCACACACCTCTGTTTACCAACAGTAAATAGGAACCCGGTTGTTATTCAATTAGCGGATCGCTTTTTCGGGGGTAATAATCCCTTCAAAAAATAATACTACTAATAATTTGGTCCCTCAATCCACAACTGTTTTTGGGACGCTGCTGCGCACAATTGACTGCTGCATTTTGCCCCCAAAGCACACAGTTAATCCACTTTATAGTTTATTCTGTGAAGCACTTTGAGAATCCTCAAAGACGTGATGCGGGTTATATCAAATGCGAGGATTATTATATTATACTTTATCCCGGGAGGTGCTTTAAGACGTCCTCCTGCCGGGAAAGGCACTGTATTCCCGGTATTTTCCCACAGTTCGCTTCGCATCCAAGCTATTTATCTTTAAAATAAATCCACAGGAATAGGGAAATAAATGCAGATATTCGCAAAAATCTTTGATTTTTTTTAATAGAGATTCTAAAAAGCTTTTTGGTGTAATTTCATCCCCAAAACATGTGAACAGTGGTCCGTGACCGCCCTCCTGTGGAGGTGTGTGGTAACTGCAGGCGGGACACTGGCTACAGACCTTGATGATGAGACTGTCTTTGTAGTGTAAATGATATAGTGATCATAATAATTAATAATCATAGTAACCAGAGGACAAGGCATTGTAGATGTTACATAATTTGAATAATAATAAGCCTTGCATTTGGTATAGAGCCTTTCACGTCAGGAGGACGTCTCAAAGTGCTTCACTGAATGTACCGTGAAGTGCAGTGACTGTCTATTTTGTGGGCGAAACACTGCAGCCGGTCGCGCATGGCAGTGTCCCACAAACAGTCGTGGATTGATTGGCCACATTTTTTTTGAAGGATTATTACCCCCGGAAAGCGATCGGTCAATCGACAATGGGGATGAGCAGTAAATGCCGGAGCAGCCCACATCCAGGAGAGTTAAAACACAAAGCTGAGGGAACTGGGTGAAGAAACTAATTCAATAAAAAGGGGAAGCTGAGGCCGAGACGTTTATTTATTAATGTGGAGATTTTCTAAATACGGTATATGTTGTGGGTGTGAGGCTCTGTGGTTGCCAGCAGGTGGGTAAAACCTCTAACAGTCGCCTGACACTTCCTGGGCAGGAGTTTCGGTGAGTGTTCCCTTGTGAGCGTTCCCCAGTGAGCGTGAGTGTGCGTGTGTGAGAGGAGAAACTGTCTGTCTTCTGTCTGTCTCTCCAGCCACAAGTTTTTCTAAAAGAAATTCATCTGCACATTTATGATGTTGCATCGCCGGCTGGTGGCCTCCCCACCTCATTGCATCAGGTACCAATTCATCTGAAGGTAAGAGACACCTTCACACTCACTCCTGCCGAGTGTGGATTTGTAGGTGAAAGCCATAGAGTGAGGTGAGCGAGCAATTAATGTGGAGGATTGTCAGCCAGGACACTGGGAGTTTCTCCCTTCTCTCCTCTGGTTGGAAATAGGCATGTCTATGGTCAGCCCGAACAGGTCACAGGTGGGATCTCGGTTGTTAGAAACCAGACAGTGATGAACATACAGTAAACTTCTGATAACTCGACACTCCAAGGGAAAAGGGCTCAGTGACCAGTTATCAGGAGCGGGGAGTTAGGCACCTGTATAAATACATAAATAAATGCGGCTGAGATATTAATAATAATAATCCTTGCATTTGATGTAGTGCCTTAGCACGTCTTCGAGACATCACAACGTGCTTCACAGGATATACTCTAAAGTTTAGTGACTGTATTTTGTGGGTGAAATGTGGCAGCCAATTGCGCACAGCAATGTCCCCACAAACAGTCGTGGATTGAAGTGACCAAATTATCCAAATTATTTAAATTATTTTTTCTTTTTTTGAAGGGTTTATTACCCTCGGAAGCGATCCGCCAATCAACTAACAAGCGGATTCCTATTCCTACTTACTGCTGGTAAACCGAGGGGTGTGTGCGGAGTAAGGAAACTTGTCCAACGTTTCGCCCTGAGCCGGGAATCAAAACCGGGTCCTTTCGCTTGCGAGGCGAGGGCTCTAAACACGTAGTTGCAACTATGGCTGTGGTTCGAGCTCTCGCCTTTTAATAAGGGATCCAAGTCGCTCACACGGTGACTTTAACTCTTATTCTCACATCAAACAAGCCAGATATCGGACATTTATTTTTCAAGTGGTTTTAATTGAATCCTGAAATAAAATCAGCCCCGTTGTCTCTGTGATCACTGGAAGTCGATGGTTTTGTAGTTGACTGAACATTGGAATCTGCCGTTCGGGATCTTGGAGCAAATCAGATCCGGGAAACAAGGGCAGGTGTGGTGCTGTCGTTTGCCGGAGAAAGGGACCTGAGAGAGAAAGAGACGGCAGTGAGTGAGACAGAGAGAGAGAGAGACACACAGTGAGAGGGAGAGAGACAGCGGTTAGAAGGATAGAAGGAGACGGCGGTGAGAGGGAGAGAGACAGTAGTTATCCAGAACTTTTCAGTTTTCTGTTGCCCGAAACACAAAAACGTCTCAAAGCTTCAAACTAATTACAGACAAAATGTCGTCACTTTTGGTTTGTAGTTTGTGTGGCCACCAATTTGCGCGCAACAAAGTCCCACAAATAGGCAGATAATTAAGAAAAGCTGTTGTGGGAAACGGCCACTATTGCGCTCCCTGTGGGTGTGAGACTGAGACGCTGACAGACAGACCTTGTGGCTGTAGGGATGACACTCGTCCCCCTCCCGGCCCTGGGGAGTGCACATGCGCAGGCGGCGGAGCCAGAGGCTCACGGCACAGCAGGACCCCGCCCCACACTGGGGGTCTCGCTCGCAAGCCTGAGGGGAAGAATCACATGGTTAGATCCCAATCCGTCCATTTCCCCCATCCCCATCCCACTGTTACCCCATTTCACAGACGCCTTCCAGTACCTCACCCAATGACGGTCATTAACGAGTGAGTCATGTTGACCGAGGTTTACCCCCTGACTGCCCCACACACACCTCCCGTCTTGTTCTCCCCCTTTCTCCCATTGCTCGCTCTCCCCCTTCCTCCCTCGTGCCCCATCACTCGCCGCTCCCGCCTCCCACACCCCCCCCACCCCCACCAGTCGCTCACCCCTGTGATGACGGCACTTTGGCTGAGACTCAGGAAGAGTAGAAGGAAAGTTAAAAGCTGGAGAATTCTCATAGTGACCGCTGTCTGGAGGCTCAGGCGGGAGGGAAGGTGCAGGGAGTCTGGAGCTCGGTCACTGTGTGAGAGAGAGAGAGTCTGTCTTCAGTGTACACCTTCCCTCTTCACTCTGCCTGTCCGAGTGTGTGTGTGTGAGCTGGGAGCCTCTCTCTGTGGATATACTCTCCGCACTCCCTGATAATAAACTGGGTGACGCTGTGTTTGATAAGCACATCACTGAAGGCAGGACATGAATGTATAATGTCAGTCTCGGAGAATGAATGTGTGAAGTGAGCTCAGTCGGGCAGTGAGGGGAGCAGTAACTTTGGGACGTTTCTCAGTGTAGTGAGAGCTCGAGGCTGTTGCTCTCTCAGGTTAGTGGCCCTGATTATAACACGTTGCTTCAATAAAAGGACTGAGTTTGAAACATTCGATGGAAAATCAAGGTGGGTTTTTGCTTTTAATCATAATAATAATCCTCGCATTTGATACAGCGCCTCATCACGTCTTTGAGACGTCTCAAAGCCCTTCACCAAATTTACTGTAAAGGGTAGTGACTGTATATTTTGTGGGTGAAACGAGGCAGCCACTTGCACACAGCAGCGTCCCCACAAACAGTCGTGGAATGAGTGACCAAATTATTATGATGTCTTTTTAAAGATTATTATTTCCAGAAAAGTAGAAAACCAATCGACTTAACAACCAGGTTCCTACTGACTGCTGGTAACCAGAGGCGCGTGTGTGTGTGTGTGTGTGTGTGTGTGTGTGGAGTAAGGAATCTTGTCCAACATTTCGCACTGCCCGGGAATCGAACCCAGGTCCTGTCGCTTGCGAGGCGAGGGCTCTAACCCCTGAGCTACAGGACTCCACTTTTTGAAGCTTTTCGAGACGTTTCGATATGATTAGATTTTAATCATGTTTCCCCTCTAACATTTATATTGCTCTCCTCACGCAGGATAGCGTCCCAGAGCGCTTGACAGGGAGGGAGTACGCTTCTGTGAAGCCCTCTGACTTGATAAAGCGCTTTATCAAATACAAGGATTATTATTGTTGTTATCCTGGTTCCTCCCCTTTGCACGGGGTCTGGGATCTGGACGGACACCTTGTGTTACGATGCCATGAGTTATCCTAATGGTCTGAGCTGGTGATATCTGCTGTACACACAGACAGACAGACAGACAGACACACTCACGCACACACAGACAGATAGACACAGACAGACAGACACACACACGCACATGCACACGTGCTGCTGACACACCCACCCACACACAGACAGACAGACAGACACACAGACAGACGAACGCACACGCTGCTGACACACACACACGCAGACCGACACACTCACCCACACACACACACGTTCCGCTGACACACCAGACTGAGTAGAGCAGCGAGAAGCCATTGTGGCCTTTCACTCCTGCTCTACGTCTCGGTGGATTTACTGCAAATTGAAGACATAAAGCACCGGCTTTGCTGTGAACCTGGTTTAAATCCTGATGAAACACATTGGGAATTGGTTACAAATGGAGCCCGGAAGCCTTCAGGGTTTCAGTAATAAAGCAATTTTAAACTGAGCCGTGGATAAATTGTGTTTACTAGGTGAGGGCCTGGGGGCCGTCGGGGGGCTGGGGGTCTGGGTGAGGGGGGGCGGTGCTGGGGGGCTGCTCCAGTGAATGTCCCGGCTCCGAATGCAAGACATTGAGCACCCGAGGCCCACAGTTCCACCTGGTCTTACCCTTAGGATCATTCATTGCTGTGAAATTTAAGATTGTGCAGAAATTTCTCTTCAATACAATTGTTAAATAAATAAATCCCGTTTCTGTCTGGAAACTGAGCTGTGGGAAACCAGCTGCCAGACTGGGATGTAATTGGGGGATTTTCTGGGGTGAGATGTGGAGTCAGGAGGTGGGGCGGGGGGGGATCAGTTTGGTGCTGTGGGTGGGGTTGGGAGTGTGTTTGTGTGGGGGGACGGGTGCTCTGTGTACGTGTGTGTCTGTGTGTGTGGGAGGAAAGGGTTGGCTATGTGTGTATGTGCGGGGGTGGTGTTTGGGGGTGGGGTGGGGGCAGGAGGGTGCTGTGTGTTTGCGTGTGACTTGCTGTCTCTTAGTGAGATAGTGTTTTATTGTCTCAATAAACACCTGAGTCCTGGCGGGTGATTACTGAACCCTTCACATTGCACATTTAACTGTGCTTTAAATCAAAGCTCCTGAAGCCATAGGGAGAAACACCACCAAATTCCTGTGTCTCTGTTTCTGTGTCTGTCTCTGTCTGTCGCTCTCTCTACAGGGAGGCAGAATTCGCCTCGTGGTCCCACCCTGGGGGTGATTGTTTAGAATTTATATTGGGGCAAAGCCACGGAAAATAATAATCATTTTAATAATAATCCTTGCATCTGATATAGCGTCTTATCATGTGTTCGAGACGTCTCAAAGCGCTTCATAGAGTATACTGTAAAGTGAATTGACTGTGTATTTTGTGGGCGAAACTCGGCAGCCAATTGCGCACAGCAGTCATGAATTGAGTGGCCAAATTATTATTATTTCTAATTTATCTTTTTGAAGGAATTATTACCCCCCCCCGGGAAAAGCAAACAATCAAACGACTAACAACCGGGTTCCTACTTATTGGTAGAAATGGTCTCAAGGCTGAGACTGGGTGAATTGCGAGCCCCTCGGGGCCTCCTTTCTTGTCTCTCCTCGTCGCTCTGGTGAAGAGAAGGAGATGGGTCAACGGAAGAAAGTGCATCTATTCAGCGAGGGTGTGAGGGGGTGTGATTGACAGACGCCCGTCGATCAAGCAGACTCCACACAGATAAGCGATCAGCCTGTTACCCACGTAAGGCAGCGACCGATCAATACATTTGAAAGAACAGGTGCAGAGAGGGCATTGACCTAAACTCTCAGTCGCGGGGATATCCTACAAGGCACTAAGCTGTTCATTTCAGATAATAACTCTGTCTCCAAAACTCCGCGCCTGTGTGTGTGTGTGTGTGTGTTTGTGTCTGGGGTTCAAAAAAAAAGTATTGACATTCCAGAATTTTTTCTCTCTCTATATATATATATATATATCTCTGTGTGTCGCAGGTTTTCACGGTTTGAACAAAGAGCTTTTGGAACAGAGAGATAAGTGAGGCATCACACACTCGCTTTTCTTTGTTACTGCGAAGCAAGTCTGATCGCAAAGCAAGACACAGTACAATAGGCGAGAGAGAGCGCGAGAGAGAGCGCGAGAGAGAGAGAGAGCGAGAGAGAGAGCGAGCGAGAGAGAGAGAGCGAGAGAGAGCGCGAGAGAGAGAGCGCGAGAGAGAGAGCGAAATAACAACCTCCACTTAAAAGTCCTCGCGTTATGAACTCAGCAACTTGGGAGTTACCGGCAAAAGGTGTGGTTTGAATGTGGCCGAATGGGGCGAGGAAAGAAAATATAACATGTAAAAAATAATAATAATAATATTCCTCGCATATGATGTAGCGCGAACGGCACACGCGGCAGCGTCCCGCACACAGTCATGGACTGAGCGGCCAAATTATTATCATTTTTAAAGGAATCGTCATAAATATAAACACATGAGGGCGAGTTGTTGTTTTAATGTGTCGTGTGAGGAACTCGTCCCTTACGGCACCGATGGGGTGTCTGTGTCTGTGTCTGACGATGGCTGTGGTCCTGGTTATATAGAGAGTTACACACAGAGGTACCGTTACAGGTTTGACCCTCACCCTCTCGGTCGCTGTGTGTTGTGGCAGCACCTGGTGTGCGCAGAGCGTTATTTCGCTGCTCCCATTTCCGGCCACTCACACATTGGAAACAATTGCTCCGCCTAATCCCGGTTACACGGACATTATTACACTTGACATTTCCAGGCCGGAGGCAGCCGTGCGGCTGTTTAGGTCCTTAAGTACACGTCTCTGTGATGTGATAATTACAGACACGATGGGGGGAGCGAAAGAGAGAGAGAGAGAGAGAGGAGGGGAATGGGGTTAGAGTGAGGAGCTCCGGTGAGGGGGGGGCGCGAGCCCCAGCACTGACACGATGGGGAGAATTACGCGGATCCCGAGCGGATCCCCTCCAAGATCCTCCCTCCGGTGCTTCAACCCCTCCATTCCTTGGCCAATCCCCCCCCCCAACCCCCCCAACCCCCCCCACAACTCTCTCCCCACAGCAGTACCCGCCGTCTCCTCTCTCCTGGGTCCGGGTCCCCCGAGTCCTCCCCTCCGCCCTCGGCCGCTGTGCCTTCAGCCACTGTGCCCCGAAACTGGGGCGGTCCCCCCCCCCTTCACCCCCACACCCCCACCGTCAGGTGGCGCCTGAAGACCTCCCTCTTTGACTGCGTCTGTGGTCCCCCCCCTCCCCTCCCCCGCGAGAGGCTGTGAGTGTGAGTTGTTGTGGTTATGGGGCGGGGCCGGGGGCGGGGTTTCGGGCTGACGTAACGCCTGCGTCAGAGAGAGGGGCGGGGCCTCCAGTCAGCTGCTCAGTGACTTCCTGTCATGTGACAGAGAGAGAGGAGACACAGAGACAGAGGGACACAGACACACACAGTGACACAGACACACACACAGAGAGACAGAGGGACACAGACACACACAGAGAGACACAGACACACACAGTGACACAGACACACACACAGAGAGACAGAGGGACACAGACACACACAGTGACATAGACAGAGAGAGACACAGAGAGACACAGTGACACAGACAGAGAGAGACACAGAGAGACACAGTGACACAGACAGAGAGAGACACAGTGACACACAGTGATACAGACAGAAAGAGACACAGTGACACAGACAGAGAGAGACACAGAGACACACAGTGACACAGACAGAGAGAGACACAGTGACACACAGTGACACAGACAGAGAGAGACACAGTGACACACAGTGACACAGACAGAGAGAGACACAGTGACACACAGTGACACACAAGGGAGAGAGAGACTCAGACCCTCAGCCAGAGAGCTGACAGTGAGAGTGGTCAGTGTTAGTGTCCGTGTGAGGCCTCTGGGACACAGAGTATCACAGTGTGTGACATTGTATCGCAGTGTGTGACATTGTATCGCAGTGTGTGACATTGTATCGCAGTGTGTGACATTGTATCGCAGTGTGTGACATTGTATCGCAGTGTGTGACATTGTATCGCAGTGTGTGACGTTCTATCGCAGTGTGTAAGATTGTATCTCCGGCCGATACTTTGTATCCTGAGGGTTTGGCCTGAGGGGAATCAAACTCCGTGTGGGAGCCGGGAGCCGGGAGATGGAGTCGGTCCTGGAGCAACACTTGGATGAGACGTGAGTAATAATACTAATACTGTCCTTGGGTTTGATATAGTGCCTTATCGGGGCTTCGAGACGTCTCAAAGTGACTTGACTGTATATTTTGTGGGTGAAACACGGCAGCCAATTGCGCACAGCAGCGTCCTCACAAACAGTCGTGGATTGACAAATATTTTTGTGGAGGGATTATTACCCCCAGAAAAGCGATCCATCAATTGACTAACAACTTGGTTCCTACTTACTGCTGGTAAACAGCGGCGTGTGTGTGTCTGTGTGTGTGTCTGTGTGCGTGTATGTGTGCGTGTATGTGTGTGTGGGATAAGGAAACTTGCCCAATGTTTCGCTCCGCCCGGGAATCAAACCAGGGTCCTCTCGCTTGTGAGGCTCTCTAACCCCTGAGCTACAGAGAAGGGAGGGTAGGGGTGAAGGGCTCATGGACCGGGTTAATTCTCCAGCGTTAAAAACACACACACACAGGATCTTAACCTTTCTCTCTTTACTCCTGACCAGGATGAAGAACCCGGCCATTATCGGGGTGCTCTGTGCGGACGCACAGGGGCTGAACCTGGGCTGTAAGTACAGAGCAACACGTCATATGGCTGTGTGTGTTTGGGGGGGAACATCTATGTGTGTGTCTGTCTGTGTGAGTATGTATTTATGTGTGTGTCGGGGCACGGAAACCTGGCTATGAAATTGCTGATACTTCTCACCTTGTGACTTTTGTGTTATAAGTTGAAGGTGACAGAAGATATGGACAATTTCTCAGTTGGGGAGAGGGCGTGTTTTGAAGAATGGGGGAAACGGGGCTGTGAATTAAGAGTGAACGATCTTAGGTTTTACACATGACGATGTTCAGGCTGAGAGGGTGAGCAGTTGGGTGGGTGGGGAGCCAGGAGTGTGTGTTGCTGCCTGTGTTCTCTCAGGGTCTCTCTCTCGCAGTGACTGTGTGATCTCTCCTCCCCAGGTCGGGGATCGCTGGTCGACGAACACGCTGGGGTGGTCTCGGTTCTTGCCCAACAAGCGACGAAGCTGACTATAGACCCCACGGACACCCCGGTCATCTGCCTGGAGTCTGACAATGGGTAAGGAATCCAGGAACGCAGGGATTATTGTTTGAAGTCCTGTAGCTCAGTGATTAGAGCGCTCGCCTCGCAAACGAGAGGACCTGGGTTTGATTCCTAGGACAGGTCGAAACCTTAGGCAAGTTTCCTTACTCCACAGGCCTGTTTACCAAGGAATAAGTAGGAACCCGGTTGTTAATGGATTGGCGGATCGCTTTTCCGGGGCATTAATCTCTTCAAAAAAAAAATTTGTCCACTTCAATCCGTGACTGTTTGTGGGGACACTGCTGTGCGCAATTGGTCGCCGCGTTTCGCTTACAAAACACCCCGTTCACTTTTTACAGCGTATCCCGTGAAGCGCTTTGAGACGCCTCAACGACGTGATCAGGCGCTGTATCAACTGCACGGATTATTATTATTATTGTTATTATTATTGTTATTATTATTATTGTTATGTCTCGACTCTTCACAGAAACATCATAATCCACAAGCACAGCAGCATTACCGTGGCTGTCCACAAGGTGGCGTCCTGAGCCTCAGCTCATGGGGTGTCGCAGTTGAACGACACGTCAATCAGTTTTGTCGTTAAAATCTTTCCGCAGCCGCTGCTTGAAGTCACTAATCTTATCTGGGCCTCTGCTGGCCTTGTGTTCTCTTGGATTCTAGTTTGGGGGGTGGGGGGAGGTTGGGGGGAGGGGGGCGGGGGGAGGTTTTGGAGTGGGTGGTAATTACAGAGGTTGATGCCTGGACCAGCGTTGTTTCTGGTGTAATTGATGCGATATTAGCAAACAAACAACTCAATTAGCAAACAAAAAGTTGGTCTGGCCCTCGACCCCCCGCCCGGGTTTGGGATTGTCGCGGCTTTTAGTTGTGTTTATCTCCCGAGCTGGAAATATTGCAATAAAATGTTGAGAGTTGAATTTCGGCCTGGAGTCTCTCCATCACAACCACACCAACAGCACAGAGTCTCTCCATCACAACCACACCAACAGCACAGAGTCTCTCCATCACAACCACACCAACAGCTCAGAGTCTCTCCATCACAACCACACCAACAGCACAGAGTCTCTCCATCACGACCAGACCAACGGCACAGAGTCTCTCCATCACAACCAGACCAACGGCAGGGCGTCTCTCCATCATGACCAGACCAACGGCAGGGCGTCTCTCCATCATGACCAGACCAACGGCAGGGCGTCTCTTCATCATGACCAGACCAAGGCAGGTCCCAGAGCTCACAGTCCAGGCTGACACACCAGTGCAGGACATGGCCAGAGATGCCATCCTTCAGCACAGAATTTAAATTAATTGGATGTCAAGTTGGATGTTAAAGATCCTCTGCCACCAGTGCCCCAGATTATCAACAACAACAATTTGCATTTATATAGCACCCTCCATACGGGGCAGCGGCTCGTAATCGGAGTAATCAGTTGTTTATGTGTCAGGATCAGGACAGTGGACAGCAATTTCCTGCGCAACAGCTTGAGATGTCTTGTCATGATGTGTGTGGTTTGTTGCCCACCATTGGCTGGTGTTGTGGTCAGAGTTGGTGCATCACATATTCACGTTGTCTGTATCTAGAGAAACCTTAGGCAAGTTTCCTTACTCCACACGCCTCTGTTTACCAGCAGTAAGTAGGAACCCGCTTGTTAGTCGATTGGCAGATCACTTTTCCAGGGGTAATAATCCCTCCCAAAATAAATAAATAATAATTTGCTGACGTCAAACCACGACTGTTTGTGGGACGCTGCTGTGCGCAGTTGGCTGCCGCGTTTTGGCCACAAAACACAGGGAATTCACTGACACGAACCACAGCCGAGGCAGAGTCTGTAGATTTAAGCGAAGAGATGGATAGATCGTTAAAGAGGTAAGATAGGAAAGGGTGAGCGGGAGAGTGAAGTCAGATCCACACCAACGTAGGACAGAATGGTCGGTTTCTGTGGCTGTAACATTCACGGATTCCGTGGAGTGTGTGCAGTTTATATGTTGGCCACGAGGGGGCAGACTGACACTGGATCGTTCTGCTTCCCAATTGGAGTCTGACCAGACTCCAGAGTTTCCAGAGCAAAGAGAGTGACCGATGCTAACTGCTGGTCAGTGCAGGTTAGGAGCGAGCAGTCAACAGGCAGCTGCTGCGGGAGAGAGGCCTGAGCCTGACACACATGTTGTCCCCACACATAGTGATCAGGAGACTTTCCCTTTCCCTCCCCCGGGGGACAGTCAGGGTCAGTTATTTACTGTCTGAACTCAGTAACCCTTCCCCCCCCCCCCCCCCACCACCCAGGCACGCGAACCATTCAAGGGGGGGAATTAAACACTTGCGTTTAAAGAGATTTCAAGATTGAGGTGAATAGATGTTTGTTAGGTCGGGGTATTGCGGGATATGGGATATGGTGGGTAATTGATTTGAGGTACAGATCAGCCATGATCTTATAGAATGGTGGAATGTGGGGGGTGGGGGAGGGAAGACCATCAGTGGCTTGATACCAAAAGCCGAAGGTCGTTGCACATGCAGAAAGGTAGGATGGAATCCAGCTTGTTGACACAGTCGCTAAGTGTACATCTCGCTCCGAGCCTCAGTCAGCCCAGGTCTCAAAAGGTCAGCACTGATCTCGTCTGTAACTTGGATAACGCTTATCTGGTGCTGACTTATTAGTTAGGCTTCTGCACAGTTACTGATAACCCACAGTGGCTCAGTCATTGCTCACTCACTGACCAGCTTCAATCAGCTGATAATCACAATCCCCTGATGTACGTTTAAAGGGGAATTAGGGAAGCCTAATTATGTCTCAAAGTACTTTGTTGCAATTATTATCAAGTGTAGTGACTGTTTGTTTGTAGGCAAACAATTTTCAGGTGGGAGGGCTGTCTCAAGACCTTCCTCTTCGCTCGTGCCTTCGGTCATCTTCCTACCTTGACTCCCCCATTGCCCTCCACCTCTCTCTCTGAACTCGGGGGCAAACCCTTGACTGTCCAGTGCCTTGAGACATCGTCCTGATGTGAAAGACGCTGTGTAAATGCAAGTTGCTGCTGTAACAATTGTAGTGTCAAGTAACTGGCCAGACATTCACCCCAACTTCCCAGAACTCCCCTCCAGCCTTGTCTACATCCCGGGAATGGTTGGAGTCCTAACGCGATTTCTGATCATTAAGAAATAACCCATTTTAGAGCCTGATATATATATATATATTTAATATATATATACATATAAAAGTCAATGGTTTTCGAAAATATCTTATTGGAATACGTACTTTGAGCAGAATTTAACAATCCCCTGGATTTAACATCTCCTTTAAAGCGTTTAGAATGTTAGAATTTGAAATATTCAAACAACCAAATCTCAAATGCGAAAAGCTGATACACACAGAAAGAGGGAACGGTTAAAAAGTTACTGGAGCCAAGTCTGTCCATTCAGTCTTTAGCCGTAGAAGGTCTGCATTGGACAGAAACCCTGGGCTCAGCAGCTCAGCTCTGAATGGATTGGAGACTGAGAGGTAAAGATTATCTACTGGAGAGATTCCTTTACGGAGCGCAGAGCCAGCCCAGCTCAGGAACCAAGGGGGGATTTAAACACTTGAGCTTAAAGAGATTTGGAGACGGACCAGTGAGAGAGACAACAGTGGTTGCCCGAGGTCCTTGAGGCAGCCACTTTTCAGGAGGGCTATGGTGTGTGAATCTCCGCTGAGAACACAAACTCCTCTGGTGTGGACAATCATGTGGTAAGTCCAGGAGATTTTCCCTCGTGCAATGTTTTCTTAAGCGGAGTTTTCCTGCCACGAACTGGTTTTGAGGCAAAGTCCCTTAGTACCTAGTTCTGTGGCGTAGTGGTTAGTGCGCTCGCCTTGCAAGCGGGTTTGATTCCCGGTCGGGGAGAAACCTTAGGCAAGTTTCCTTATTCCACACTCATGTCTCTGCTTACAGCAATAGGTGGGAACTCAGTTGTTCGTTGATTGGTGGATCATAATAATCCCTCCAAAAAAATAATTTGGTCACTCAATCCACGACCGTGTGTGGAATTGGCCACATGTACCCACAAAATGCGCAATCACCACACTTTACAATATATTCTGTGAAGCGATTTGAAACGTCCCAACGATGTGGTAAGGCGCTGTATCAAATGCAAAGATTATTTACTATTATAAATTCTTCAGGATTAGGTGAATGGGTCATCTTTCACTAAGGGGTGTGGGGTTAGACGAGACACAGCGAGAGAAACACCAGCGCAGACCGATTGATAATCAGCGTGTGGCACAAGACATACCTGTCAGGAGGGGAGAGGAGAAGATCAGAGGGAGGCGTCATTTTGGAAAGTTTTTAAACCCGGTTTCGATTTGGGGAAGCCATTTTGTCCACAGTTCTTAAAAGCAGGCGGATACCAAATAAAACGTGTGTTTCAGAACCTTCCACGCTTCTGAGAAAAACAGTCCCAGGCTAAGATGGATGAAATTCCTGTAAGGACTTGTTCTGCCCGTCCGCTCATAGGAATTGTGTTGAGAATTCCTAGTAAAATTGGAGACAGAACATTATGTACGAGGAAGCCTTCAGGCCTCCCATGTACAAAAAGCAAGTGATTGGAGTGGGCAGCGATCATTGCGTGCCACATTCCTAGGCTGTGATGAACAGAATTACATCCAGCGCAGTGCTAGAATCACAGCTGATTTATTAAGCTTAGGTCAGTGGGTTCATCTAATGATGGGGTATAGAGTGGCTGAGCTGAGCCTCTGTCTAACACGAGTTGGTGTTATTTCTTGGCTAATAGCCCGGCCTTTATTGACTTGATTAATAACAAACTTCCTCTCATTTAGACGCAGCTTTCTGTTTTGGTTATGGTGTTGCGGGCTTGAAGACTTCACGCAGAATGAGTTTACAAAATCAGTCACTGAGCTGACAGCCCAGGCTGACACTGGGGGGTGGGGGCTGGGGGGAGATTGCTGAATTGTCACCAGTGCTGTCTTTAGGATGTAAATTTTAAAATAAGTTGTGGAGTCCGTAGTGGTTAGAGCACTCACCTCACAAGCGAGAGGACCTGGGTTCAGATTCCCACACACACACCTCTGTTAACCATCAGTAAGTAGGAACCTGGTTGTTTGTCGATTGACGGATCGCTTTTCCGGTGTAATAATCCCTTCAAAAAAAATTTGGTCACTCAGTCCACGACTGTGCGAGGAACACTAATTGGTTGCCATGTTTCACCCACAAAATATACAGTCATTTCACTTTACAGTATATTCTGTGAAGCCCTTTGAGACGTCTCGAAGATGTGGATAATGGGCTATGTCAAATGCAAGGATTATTATCATTCAAGTAAGCAGAAGAGGTAAACACAAACTGTTTTTTAAATAGATTTGCAGGTAAAATAGTGTAATCACAGAGGGAATTTTCTGCCCAGGGCCTTTGACATTAATTTCTGAATTCAGATTGTGCGGTATAATTGCCCACTTTATTTTTAGGATGGGTATTCCTGGCACCTGCTCCTATGTTTGTACACAAATTGCTTTAGCATGTGTGAAAGCACAGGAACCTTGGAAGAGGAGCAGCCAATTGGCAATCAATTCTGTTCCTCTAAGCGTTCCATACCACAATCCTAATCCCACTTTCCCGCTTTCCTGCTACACTCTGATATTCTTACTTCCCGGATACCTTCCCACCTCTCTCTTGAATCTCTCGATCGATTTGGAAAAGATAAGGCAAAGGCTTAACGCAGAGTGTGGCAGAGTGAGGTGGGAACAGAGTGAGGACTTACAGATCAGGAATTAGGTATGTTGGGGGTGGGGGGGGGGAGTTAAACCAATTAACCCTAAATTGAATTGTATAAAACATGCTGTATTTCTGTCGCTTGACAGTGGCGGAGAACATCGCTGAGTCAGGGGGAGGGGGAGGTGACCTTAGGCACGGTCAAAGAGGAAGGTCTTCAGGGGAGATCCGAAGACAGGCAACGAGGGGACGAGGCGGAGGGATAGCGAAAGAGGAATAATGTGATCATTAGCAAATTACACGTGACAATTTCCACCCATGTTATGGAGTCCTGTAGCTCAGTGGTTAGAGCACTCGCTTTGCAAGCGAGAGACCTGGGTTCAGTTCCAGGCAGAGGGCAAAACCTTGAGCAAGTTTCCTTACTCCACACAGCGCCTAATAATAATCCCTCCAAAACAAAGCAATAATAAATTGGTCCCTTCAATCCACGACTGTTTGTGGGACAGACGCTGCTGTGTGCAGTTGGCTGCCGCGTTTCGCCCACAGATATACAGTCAATTCACTTTACAGTCTATTCTGTGAAGCGCTTTGAAACGTCGAGAAGACGTGAAAAGCATTATATCAAATGCAAGGATTATTATTATGACATTTGCTGTACTAAGTTACACTATATAATTTTTGCCTGAATATACAATATAAACTGCTGTTTATAGAGGTAAAATGGGTTCACCGTGCACTGAGGTTCACCTCGGCAACTGGCCGACAAGAGAAGCCAAGGTTTATTCCCAGTTTATACCTGGATGTGGATCCTTTCCCAGCGTACTGCAAATGATTTCCTGGGAATCTCTGATGACCATCTTGTTTAATGATGAGCACAGTTAACTCTGTACAGCCTGTGGCTGCTAAAAGCGTCAGACCATTTGGTCTTAAAATTTAAGATGAGTTCAAGGACTCCACCTCAGAAACGGGGAGGGAGGGAGCTGACACAGACAGGGTAGGTGTTATTGTTTGGCAAATCAGGAGATGTTTGACATGATTGTTTGTGGGACACTGCTGTGTGTGCAATTAACTGCTGCGTTTCGCCCACAAAACACACAATTAGCCCACTTTACCCTGTATTCTGTGTAGCGCTTCGAGACATCTCAATGGCGTGATAAGACACTAAATTAAATGCAAGGATTATTATTATTATATACTCTGTGCCCGGGATTAAATTCTGCCAAATTTACACAAACCCCCAGACGTGCTTTTACTGAGTCCAAGATAAAGGTATTTAATAAAATATCCCTTTGTTTTTCTTTCACTAAATTAATGACCCGGAACTTTGGTCACCTCACCGTCAGCTGAAGGTTTCAGGGACATTAATTGCTGTTAGCTTTGCCCTTTGCTGTAGGGCAGGTGGTGAAGGGCAATGATCTTTTGACACAAAGTGATTCTCTGATCACAAGACTCCCACCTCCAAGGGGTGACTTAGTCTGTGGTTCATACAATAAAATAATAATCGTAATAATAATATGGTTACTTCAATCCACGACTGTTTGTGGGGACGCTGCTGTGTGAAATTGACTGCCTCGTTTCGCCCACAAAATACACAGTCGATTCACTTTACAGTGTATCCTGTGAAGCGCTTTGAGATATCTCGAAGACGTGATAAGGCGCTGTATCGAATGCCAGGATTCTCATTATTATTATCATCCATAGAGCCAGCTGCACTGCCCATTGGCAAGGGGTTTGAGTGTGATTTGTGCTCGTTTAAACCCAAACACATCTCATGCTGACACAAACACAATCACCAGAGAGAGAGAGAGGGAGGCTCAGATGAACCTTTATTTAACCTATTCAATCTCGTTTTCCACAATACTCACCCCATTGTCCTCCCAGAAAAGCATTGAGCTGTTTCTCGGATGTCTCCCATTGTAACTGGTCTCGACCACCCTCCCTGTTAACTCCAGCTGTTGATTCCTCTCTGCGCAAAGCAACACTTGATCTCTGTGTTAATGTTGCTCATAGCACCCCTGAACCTGTGCCCTCCCCCCAACACCCCGACTTGTTAGCTGCTGAACCTAATGTATTACCCTGGGGTTACATTTTCTGTCGCCTGCAGGACAGTCTGTTTCGGAGAATGTTGAGAGGAGTTAAAGTGTGAATTCGAACCCAGTGAGGGCTCTGATCTCTAATCTGTGATGAAGCCATTTCACTTGGAGCTTTATAATAACAATAATAATAATCATCTTTATATTTGGTACACCACCTTTTACATCAGACGGATGACCCAAAGTGCTTCACGGGATTTACTGTAAAGTACAGTGACTTTTTTGTGGGTGAGCATGATATATATATATATTATATGATATTGTTGGAGCATAAATACGTGTGAAATAGCTGGTCTCGTATATACCATCCTCTGGTGCTCATTAAAGGTTCTGTGATGCTGCTGGAAATCAACAACAACAAATTACATTTGTAGGGCTGGACAGTCCAGGATTTCGACCTGAGCTGGAGGTTGAGAATGGGAGAGAAAAGAGAAGGGAGTTTTTCTCTCCTGGTGTCCTGACCAACAATCTCCCCAAATCAATGAACCATTCATTCACTTTGTGATGTGTCGAATATAGAAACCTGCCTCGTTTGTCTACAAGACAATGACTACCTTAAGATAGAGGACTGATGTCTCCCCGGTCGTGTACACATTCTCTGCGCTGCAGCCTCTCCGTCTGAGTCCAGAGATAAGCAGGTAAATTGGTTTTGTTTACGCCTTGGTGTGGAGTGAGCTGTAGTAACAGGTGCGCCTCACTGCCTGGTGACTTGCTGCGAAGAACTAAAGCTCAGTGACATCCGAGACTGAAGCATAACCGGAGTCCTGTTGCGTAGCGGTTAGAACACTTGCCTCGCAAACGAGAGGACCTGGGTTCAATTCCTGGGTCGGGCAAAACCTCAGGCTAGTTTCCTTGCTCTCTGTTTACACGGTAGTAAGTAGGAATCTGGCTGTCAGTCGACTGATGGATCGCTTTCCGGGAGTAATAATCTATCCCAAAAAAATGTAGTCACTCAATCCGCGGCTGTTTATGGGACACTGCTGTGTGCAATTGGCTGCAGTGTTTCACTCACAAAATACAGTCAATTCATTTTACAGTGTATTTTGTGAAGTGCTTTGAGACATCTCAACGACATGCCATTGTTTTCAAATCTCTCGTGCCCTCGCACCTCCTTACCTGGCTGATTGGCTTACCCCCCACTCCACCATCCCCTCCCTCCCTTTCTTTTCCCCTCGCTCGCAATCAGACTCCACCTCTGTCAAGCACTCCGGGACGCTGCCCGCAGTGAAAGACGCTATATAAACCCAAGCTGTTGTTGTGTATCTAACGCAAGGATTATTATTATCATTAGGATAGGGACCGGCCATCGAAAAGGGCATTTATTTATTTACTCAGAATCGTTTTTCTGGAGAAGCAAAGGTGAAGGAGAAGTCTGGGTTTGGTTACTGACGAGGATTGAGGCACTCCCTGGTACATGGGTGAAGGGTTCAATGTATGTAGTGGATTCTAGGAAACGTTTACTGAGTGCTGAGGTCTCTGGGCCACTCTGTCAGCTCTGCAGATGGAGCAATCACATTAGCAGTGGTTTAGCTCATTTGGATCCCAGATTAAATTTATGCATAAGTTTTTTTTACAGTCGGTTTCTGCCTGTCAGTCACATGGCAGCTGTGAGGGCTATGTTTTTGCTGCAAAGCCTCTCTTCTCTTGTGAACTGAACTGCAGTGCTCAGCGTGTGAGAAGGATTTGCATTGAACAAGGTTGGTCAGGTGTGTTTTTTTTAAAAAGAACGGTATACTCTGCTGTGAGATACATCTGTGCAGTCACGACTTGTTGAGGCTTGAATGGGACTGAGCGGTGGGAGACAGGATTTGGGAACTGTTGGGAAAAAGTTGGGAAGAAACTTCCATTGCCATGAACAAACCCCACTGCCAAACAGTCTCCAGAGCTTCACATCTCCAGTGTCAGATTTGTGTGTGTGAATTGTATGGGAAACATCCTAACTCAGTCTGTGTGTCAGTGTTGATCAGTTAGTGTTGTGTACTCCCCACTCCCCCCTCCGCTCAAATCCGTGGAAGAATTGACAAGAATACAGTAATTTTAATGCGAGGGAATTGGAACAGAGTGAGAACTTAAAGGGGTCGATTTTCTTTCGCTCGGACAGTGGAATGGTGTTGTGTGCAAATGAGATTTTTGCACATTAAATCGGGGGGTGGTATGTGTGGGGGGGGGGTATGGGGGGGTGGGGGTGTGTGTGGGGGGGGGGTGTGGGGGGGTGGTGTGTGTGTGGGGGGGGCTGTGTGTGTGGGGGGGTGGGGGTGTGTGTGTGGGGGGGGGTATGGGGGCGGTGTGTGTGTGTGGGGGTATGGGGGGGGTGGGGGTGGTGTGTGTGGGGGGGTGGTGTGTGTGTGGGGGGGGTATGGGGGGGGTGGTGTGTGTGTGGGGGGGGGTATGGGGGGGGTGGTGTGTGTGTGTGGGGGGGGGGGGGTGGGGGGTGGTGTGTGTGTGGGGGGGGTGTGGGGGGGGGGGTGGTGTGTGTGTGGGGGGGGGGGTGTGTGGGGGGGGGTGTGTGTGTGTGGGGGTGTGTGTGTGTGGGGGGGGGGGGGTGGTGTGTGTGTGGGGGGGGGGGTGTGTGGGGGGGGGTGGTGTGTGTGTGGGGGGGGTGGTGTGTGTGTGGGGGGGGGGGTGGTGTGTGTGTGGGGGTGTGTGTGTGTGTGGGGGGGGGTGTGTGGTGGGGGTGGTGTGTGTGTGGGGTGTGTGTGTGTGTGGGGGGGGGGGTGGGGGGGTTCATAAAAATATATATACTCTGTATGTTTAGAAACGGTGTTAGCAGCGCACTGCGCGAGGCAAATAAAAACGTTATTATTTCGGTTTTTTGTTGCTCTCTCTCGTTGAGCTCAGACTTGTGTTGGCACACTGAGGGCAGGTTGGTCATGGACCTGCCCCTCAGGGCGAGGTGCTGTGCCCACTCCTGCCCAGTGTAGGGGTACCTGCCCAGAGAGGCTCAGTGGGTGGCATCTCAATTTCCAGGTGACGCCAATTTGGGGGGAAATCATGGAATTGAGTAATCCAAAATCCTCGAAAGAGTGGCTGACACATATATATATATATATTACTACTGAACTTTGTCAGTGATCAGCCCACGTGTGTATATATATGTGTGTGTGTATATATATTATATATGTGTGTATATAATATGTGTATATATTATATATGTGTGTATATAATATGTGTATATATTATATATGTGTGTATAATATGTGTATATATTATAAATATGTGTATATATATTATATATGCGCGTATGTATATATTATATTTATGTATATATATATTTATGTGTGTATACATATTATATATATGTGTGTGTGTATATTATGTGTGTGTATATATATTATGTGTGTGTGTATATATATTAAATATATGTGTGCATATATATATATATATGTGTGTATATATATACACACACACACCTGGGCTGATCACTGACAAATAAAGTTCAGTGTGGATAATCGCAAGGCACTGATTGTAAGGTACAGCGGAGGGCAGGAGTGGGCAAAATATGGCCTGTGGGCTGTATCCAGCCCGTCATTGTGTCCAGCAATAGAAAAAATTATAGTTCGTTCAGTCTCAGAAAGGATCAGTTTTAAATGAGTCCCTTTACGTTTCTTACTTTTGTCGCAGTGTCGATGTTTAATGGCTAAAGTTGTTCGTTTTTTTCTCCACGACTTTCGTATTTCAATCAGACCGGGAACATCAGCCAATCACACGGTTTAGTTGTGCGCTCACTCCCTTGCGTGTTGAATCAGGTTGACGTCAGAAATTTACGGATCGGCAAATTTTCAAACACGCGCGGCAACCGGAGCTGACTCACAGTGTCAGCCACGGCACGAGCAGCGTAAAGCCTTACCGCGTAAAGTCCATCTCGGTGCTCTGAAAGAAGATGAACGAATTGCTTACAGAGCGTACAAAACTTTTCAAAACAAATCGCCATTAATACTTTTCACCGAAGAGGGCGTTACTGTGATTTATCCGTTTATTACTCATTTGTACTTTTTGTGCGCCAATTTGGTGTTTACGTCACCCATAAAAACCGTGAATGTTAATTCGAAATGATTTTACCAAAGAAGCGGAAAGTGGACGCTGATGGTTGAATATTCCACAAAGAATGGATTTCTAATTTTTTTTGCCACTGTGGGTGGAAAAGCTGCGCTTAATTTGCAAAAGAGGTGTGGAAGTGCTCAAAGACTACAACTTGAATCCCCATTTTGGGAGCAAACACACTTGCAAATATAAGAACGTTTTTGCCGAAGAAAAAGGAAAGAAAGCTGATGAGATGGTTGTTCGAATGCAAAAAGAGCAAAGCATTTTCACAAAACAATTTTGAGCCAGGACGAGATTACAAGAGCGAGATACGTGATTGCACACAAAATCGCCAAGAACAGCAAACCGTTTTCTGAAGGAGAATTTATAAAGGAGTGTATGGTTGACTCTGCCTCGATTTTATGCCAAAACAAGAAAAAACAGATCGAGCTTGTCAAGGCAAACTATTGTGAGATATGTCGAGGATATCCCTGAGAACCTGTATCCGCAGTTAAATAATAATAATAATATTATCTGCAGTTAAAAAATAAAGTAAGCAATTTTGCATGTTTTTCACTGGCACTCGATGAGAGTTGTGATGTCAAAGACTAGTTGATAATTTTTATTCGAGGTATCACCAAACATTTTGAGCTCACACAGAAGAATTGGCATCAATTAAGTCAATGAAAGATAGGACAACTGGAGAAGACTTTCTGGAGGCAGTAAATAAGTGTATCTTAAAATTAGGAGTGGAGTGGAAAAAATTGGTGAATGTGACCACCGATGGAAGCCGAAATCTGACAGGCAAAAATGTTGGATTACTGAAAAGAATTCAAGATCATGTCAAAGAAACAAATCCAGAACAGTCATAATAATAATCCTTTCATTTGATATGGCGCCTTATCATGTCTGTGAGACATCGCAAAGCACAGGATATACTGTAAAGTGCAGTGACAGTGTACTTTATGGGCAAAATACCATGGTCTGATCAGGCTGTGCCTGGAGTGCTGAGTACAGATACCAGTGAGACATAAGGCTGGGGTCCAGACACTTTGAGTCATGCTTTTGTCAGATTGCTTCTCAGCCACATCCTTGTCAGAGATTGATGATGATTCTCGTAGCTTGGAAGCAGAAGGAAAGGGAGTTTGTGGAATCACAGCCAATTCCTTCCCGTGTCAAGCCCACTCACTCTCTGAGCAGACAGTCTGGGGTACAGAGATGGAAATGTAACTCCCCACGTTTTAGGGTAATGAGCCTCCAATAAAGAGGCGCCATGTGTGTCCTTGTCCGATGTCACGATGTGTGTGCTCGCAATGTGTGTGCTCCCCGAGGTTAGATACACAAGCGGTGAGGACTGACTCCATAAGATACAGTTGCTTCCGTCAGTAAAAAAATTAACAAAAATATTGAAGGTAATGAATGCATTCAATGCTTTTAGAAAATGAATAATCGCACATTTCTCTGTTGTTCTATATATAAACTACCTGAACCCTTATATTAAAATCCAGCCTTTACCTCACTCCCAAAGGATCTGCTCAAAGCAGATCCTCAATCTGAAGGAGTTAATCAACACATTGTCAACGCTTTTGCTAAAGCAGTTGGGCCATATACCTTGCGTTTTGGGAAAAACAATTCGTTCTAATCACCAGTCTTGCTTCAGGCTTGTTAATGTTAAACCCATGTCCTCAGTTTCTGTGCTCATATCCAAGTCAAATAGCCTGCTGTTTTAACCTGTCCAAACTAATATTTTAAGAGTTTTGTTAACAGTCACTTTGTGTTGGTTGGAAATCTACGTCAGCTAATCAATGATCACGTTCAAATCCCTTTCCTACTCCACATCTGCTAATGGGCACAAATGTTACCACTGATTTTACCCATTTGCATTTTGTATTTACATTAGAATGGTGCTGTCTTTGCTGTGCAAGGCTGATTGACTTGGGTTCGCCTGGACCCAGAACTAGGTCTCTGGGGAATACCTCAGTACAGAATGGACTCCATGCTTGGCTGGTTAGACTCCAGCAGTTCCCCAATCTTCAGTCTTGTTTCAGGCCTGTTAATATTGTTGCCAGTAATTCTTCAGATGAATTGTTCATTCACTTCATTGGCAGTTTGTGGGGCACCACTGTGCCTGCAGCCAAGTGTAATGCCTACAAATATACAGTCACTACACTTGGCAGAAAGCCCCTTGAAAAGTTTCACAATTATAGATGATCTATAAAATGCAAGCATTGTTGTTTATTATTATCTAGTGAATTGGTCAAATCTTCTTGAATGCTCGGTATCTCTCTTGTAATAGTCAATTCCCAACGTAACTTGATTTCATCATCACTAAATTTGATAGATTTGGATAGTAAGAGACCTGGAATAGGATCTTGTGGTAATTTATTCATCTTCACTACTAGATGGAGCGGTTTGTGTTTGGACTCAACTTTCTTTCACTTATTGCTGAGCTTCACTCCAATAACAACTTACAGTCAATTCTATTGTGTTTTAACCGTCTTCACAATCCTTGGTGTATAGTTAGGCATGCAAACAAGCTCTCAGTTCCCTGGCATTTGAAGGATATATAAAGGTTTCTGATTATGGTTGTAGAAGGAGTCATATTGGGGTCAGGACACTGGAACTCATTCAAGGAACAACTCAATGGTGTCACAGGATGAGAGTAGAGTATGTACAGTATTTGGGATAAGATCAAATAGGTTAAAGGGCAAAATGGTCTTAAGACTAAGCTTGTTCCTACAATATGTTGGAAGACCAGAGGCTGAAAAACAAATTTCCAATTTTAGACTTGTGACAAACCACAGAAACATTCATCTCCAAAAACATACTGTCTGATTGGGCAAGTGGTCCTAGAACAGTTGAGGTCCCAAATTCTTTTGGTTGAGATATCAAATGCAAGGATTATTATTATTATTATCTAAACACATATCAGCGATCAAACCTGGAGCTTCCCAGTCTCCAGGTGGTTCAGTACCACATCACCCAGTATGTTGACACACACAAAGGCACAAAGAAACCACTGAACACCTTTTTGTTGTGAAAAGCAACGGTCTTGCAAAACATTACCAAAAAGTGCTGTGATATTCCTGACCTCCTCCTCATTGTAATCTTTCAATTGAACTCTCAAGGACCATGGACCTCTGACACATTCAGGATTAGGCTTCCAAATGATACTTAATGATAACAATATAAATCTGCTTTCTTCCTGTTTCACGTCCTCCTGATGTGAAAGGTGCTATACACATTTTGTATTGTATTGTTTCTTCTTTAAATGCCCTCATCTTCTTCCTTAAGCGCTCCGAGAGAGCGTCCTGTGTCAAGGGCACTCTATAAATACAATTTGTTGCACTTACAAACGCAAACTGAAATCCCAGGGAGAACTCCACATCCTCCCACCTCCCCATATTGTGCTGGACTGTCGGCCTAGCCTGTAAGATGAAGACCACAAACTTCCAACTCAGAGGTGAGAATGCTGCTAAGCCAAGCCAAGAACAGAAGCCTTTTCATAAAAGGCAAGAGGGTATCCCACCCTTCAAAATGGAAGGCACTCTCCCTGCACACTGCTCACCTTGTTTATCTTGTTGTGCAGGTGTAAGAGGTCTGGGGTCGGTGTCCCTCTCCGAGGTCTGAGGTCCCATGTTGCCTTGTCTTATCTGGAGCATGAAAAATAATGTGCAAAAGGACGGCAAGTCGAGAAGCTTTGATTAAACTCCCAAACGTATCAAGTCTCGTAGAGGTACAGCAGGTGAGTAAAATCTAATCAGGGAGGCCACTGCACACTGGCGGGTACCTGCACAGAGGAAAGCCTGTGGGAATTGCAACCAGGTGATCAATGACTTGGAGAGCAATGTTCTAGTCGAGGGGTTGAATGTCCCATCCAACCCTGAGAGAGACCACAGCTCTAAAGCCAATACCCAACAAGGGAATGACACCCAGCTATGAGATTGCAGAAGCTGGGAATACTGTACTTACCTTGGAGAAGAAAAAATTGAGATGAGATTTTAATGAAGTCATTTGGACCTGAAGGCTGGAGACAAGCTAAACTCCACTTCCTTACCCAGATACTGCGGTAATCCACATAGCAAGTATCATGGCTTTGACCTCTCCATTGTGCTCTCAAGTAATTCAATATCATTGTCTCAAACTCATAGGGGGGGAAACAATTCTAAACCGCAGTATAGACTAAACATATATCTTTCAATAGGCAGCCTTGAAATGAACAACCAAATTTTGGCAGGGGCATTGTTGGCCAGGGCACTTTATTCTGAATGGCCTTACAGTAATCATTCATTGGGGGCCATCTGAACAGGCAGGCGGGGGCAACAGTTTAACATCTCAACTGAAGGACGGAACCTCTGACAATGCAGCACACTCCAATCCCTGGACAGTAAAGCGATCATGTCGACCCCCCCACCCCGCAATATTACTGCTGCAGACAGGTAGCTTTCTGTGCCGTGACTTATGGTTGCCGGAATCACCCAGTGAGACACAACAGAACTTTTAATTTGTACAGAATTTAGGTGGAGCATTGCACCCCATACACCACGCCCAAGACCCAATTGCTTTGGGTGTAGTGGGTGGGGGGGTTTCTGGCAGGAGGAGATAAGAACAGGTCTTGTGAAAAGATCGTGAGGTCTATTGCGTGTCACGTATAAATGTGTGTGCATTTTATTAATTCTATATTTTTATTAAATATAAAACAAAGGAATTAAACAATTAATGGTCCCTGTAAATCCTCTGTGCACCTGCATTTACCTGTGGTTTACATACAGTTTGCACATGGTAAATAACAGACAACAGTGTTGGCTAGCAATCAAGCGCTCTGGGACATTACCCTGCGTGAGGGGCGCTACATCAATGCAAGTTGTCATTGGCCGCTTTCATTCATGCAGAGGCATTCAATATTCCCCAATCGTTTGTTCCAGCAGAAGGAGAATTGTGTGGCTTTTAGGCAATTTTGCCAATTAAGAACACAAGAATTTGCTATAAGTTGAAAGAAGATCAAGGTACATTTAGTTTGCTTTTCACCATCCTGGCGGTGGCTTGACATGTCGTGTCCCAAACTATATACTGATAAGAACATTGATTCCGGCAGGCGATTTGCGGAGAAATTCACTGTTTCAATCTATGTCTTCACCAAATGACGTTGGTGTTCCTTTGTTGAGAAGTAACAAAGCTGGGAGCTCTTTGATCCAGTACATAACAACTCCGATGCAGTGACGCCTACTCACAAGATTAACCACTTATCGTAGAAGGGACAGGATTGGCTTGGAAAATACACAGCACTCGCTGAGCAACCAAGAGGATCCCCAATGTAAGCAATTTAAGTCAAGTAAATTCCGAGGGAGCTAGGCTTATTTATTTTGGCTAAGAAGTAACGATGAGGCATCTGATTGAACTTTGCAGGAATATGGGAGAGATTGACAATGCGCAGGTGGACACATTTTTCACTGTGGTTTAAATACTGGTTGTTAATCAATTCGCGGTTCACTTTCGGGGGGATAATATTCCCTTTAAAAAAATTGTAGAATTTGGTCGCTCAATCCACCACTGTTTGTGGGGACGCTGCTGTGTGCAATTGGCTGCCGCGTTTCGTCCCCAAAATATACAGTCAATTCACTTTACAGTACATTCTGTGATGCTCTTTGAGACATCTCAATGACGTGATAAGGCGCCATATCAAATGCAAGGATTATTATTATTAAATACAAAGTCGGCCCCACACTTGGTATTCACAAATCCAAAAGACCCCAAAGTTTTTTTTTGTGAAGCTCAATCAGAACTCTAGATATTATAACAATAATAATATTTATTCGATGTCTTCTTGGGAGTAGGACCCACATACAGACCAGTAAAGTATCAGCCTGGTTTAGTTGGTTGCACGTTCTCTGAGTCGGGTTCTGCATTGTTGAGTGTGCTGTCCTTTGAATGAGACATTAAACTGAGCTCCCTTCTGCCTGTTCAGGTAGACGTTAAAGACTGCTTATTCAATGGCTCTATTCAAAAAGAGAAGGGAGTCTCTCTCTCCTGGTGTCCTGGCCAACAATCCTTCCACAAAATAGGAGATGCACTCCATGACTGTTTAGGAGGACCCTGATGTGTGCAAATTGGCTGCAGCTTTTATCTACAAAATACAGTCACTGCACTTTACAGTAGATCTTATCAAGCGCTTCGAGATGTTGTTCCAATGTGAAAGGACCATATGAAATACAAGGATTATTATTTCTTATGTTAAATACCAAGATCAGTCACTGCACTTCAGCCACACATTGTAAATTACCTGTGATGTGTTCTGACATTTCTATGAGTCAAGCGCTATTAAAATGTGGGTTCTTTTTAAAGTTCCTTGGCACTGCACTCGCAGAGGGAAATGGGTCTAGTTGTATGTTGTGTGTGTATGTGTGTGTGTGTGTGTATGTGCCAGTTAACACCAGATGATAAAAGGCCAACAACACAAGGCAGTCCCGCGGTTTTGTTATATGCCATATTTTTTCACTTTGCTTCAAATCGGAGAAATTTCCCAAATTAATCCCAGAGCTACAGAAAAGCACCAATTGGCTCTGGCTGTGTCTCGGCCCTCGGGGAACATGGAGCAAACCAAGGAGACGAAGAGATCCGGCAAGGAGAAGGCGCGGAGGTATGTCGATCCACCCGATGGAGGGTGGGGATGGATGATCGTGCTGCATTTCTTTCTGGTAAGGATTCAGGAATGAGTGCTCCTCAGAGACATAACAATATGGTACATTTACAATGTAGTGCGTCTTATAATTTAAAATGGCTTTTTAGTTATTTAAGAGGAAAGATTCACTGAATGAACTAGACCAGCGGTCACCCCACACAGTGACTGACTGACACTACCGGGAGTGGACGGAGCACTTTAAACCCCAGCTCCTGAAATGTATTTTTTTGTGTGAAAGCAGGACAACATTTTTTAATCTGACAGAAACTGGGACAAACCTTTAAAAAAGATTTTATTAGGAAAATCTGCTAACCAGATCCCGCACAGCCCGACACAAGCTGGCACTTAGCAAAGCCAAATGAATCTTTAAAAAGTGTCTTTTTTTAATGATTCTATAGAGTGAAAATTCAGATTTTTTTTATTGTGTTAATCAATCACCGATGGATTGAAAAGTGACTTTATTATAAATGAATACATTGACTGACCTCAGAATTGCTGGAGGGAGACATTCCCCCCCCCCCCAACAACATCTGAAACTCAACAGTAAGAGCAAAGCATTGTGCCTAAATTGAAACCAATGACTGTACTCTCATCCCAGTTCATTTCTTTCCAGTAACTCCTTATTCTTCACTTCTTACAGGTCAATGTGCTGGTGATGGGAACCCTCAAAACCTTTGGGATTTTCTTTGTGGCTTTTCAAGAAGTCTTTGGGGGCTCCTCAGAGCAGATCAGCTGGATGGGGTCCATCATGTCCAGTCTACGACTGTCTGCAGGTAAAGAAAGGGATGTGGACAGGGATGGGAAGTGGTTGAGAGGCAGGAATTAGAGTAGAGTTGAGAGTGGTGAGGTCACCACTTTTGCACTACACACGTGGAGTTGGTTTGAGATTTCCCATATCTATTTCATAAAGATCCAATTAACATTGAGAGGAGTTTTGTTTTGCCAAACAACAATGGGTTTCTTTGCCTTCTCCAGGTCCTCTTGCCTCTGTTGCCTGTGGAAAGCTGGGAGACCGATGGGCCTCAATCCTTGGGGCTGTCCTGGTATCTGCTGGGTTTCTCATGAGCATCTTCGCCACTGGGATCATCTTCCTTTACGTCTCTCTTGGTGTCGTAGTTGGTAAGAGACAGCGGTTCTTCCATTAATAACAGAGACATCGTTCATGTTTGTCACCCTCTCCAATTCGCAAATGTGATTGATCTATTATCTTTGGGCATTCCTCTGCCAACATAACCAGAAATGGCAGTGGGTTTGAGTCAAGAAATTTAGACCTTGTTGAAGGAACGCAAGAAGGATCTCATCACGTAACCAGATGCACTAATTGGGAGCTCTCTCGCATCTGGATTGTTGGTTCGAGTTCCCATATTTGGACTTTGAGCTCACAGTCTACGCAGACTCTCCAGTGCAGAACTGGAAGATGCTGTAAGGGGTCCGAGACGCTACCCCACGTGAAGGATGCTATATAATTGCAAGTTGTTGTTGTATTGTCAGTGGTACTGTCCTTCAGATGAGATATTAAATTGAAGATCTCCATAATGTATTCAGATAGACATTAAGGAGCCTGCAGTTGTGTTACCTATAAAGTGCAAACTCATTTCACAACACAACGCAATATTAGCTGCCAACATGACAATAGAAAAGCTCTGTCTGCTGGGTGAACAATGTCTGGCCCGGATTCAAACCAAAGCATTTGTGCCTGATTGTTCTGATCAACGGATAGAGTTTTCCTGCGTGTATAAAAGAGCAGCAACAATCCTGCCTATTATTACCATATTAATAAAATAAATGTCAATCCATTGATAAAAAAAGAACCCTATGTACTTTAAAATCTTCACAAAGTTTTCTAACAGTGGTGCTTTTCTTGCCCTTTCATCCTTCCCAATTATCTGGTGGATTTAGTGATTTTCCACAATTAGCCTTTACTGGAACGTTGTTTTCCCAGTAAATCTATGATTGAATCCAGAAGTGTTGTGAGATTAAAGTGGGGCACATTTTAGTCAATTCAGCTCAACGTTGCGCAAGATTTTACAGAGGCTGTCAAATCATGCACATAACATGAGGAATGCTAAAGAAATGAGTTTGAGTTCGACCAAATTGAGTGGCTAAATTGGACTGAGCGACCCAATTATGAAAAATAATACTTTGGTTTTAGCACGAGCAGTGGTTCATTCCTGTGAAGCGACATCAACAGTGATACACCAAATGCAAGGGTTGTGATTATTATTTCTTTTCACTTTGACTTCAGGAGTAGGCTTCGCATTTCTGTACCAAGCCGCTACCGTGATGCAGGCAAAGTACTTCAAGAAAAGACTTGCCACAGCCTACGCTATAGCTCGATCTGGAATGGGCCTCACCTTTGCACTTGCCCCTTTCACACAGCTGTTATTGGAGGAGTATGACTGGCAAGGTGAGACACTGCATCTCTGAGCGGCAGAAACGCAAACCTTTAAAAACACCTTGGGCTCAATTTGGTGGGAGATGGGGTGACTTCCCTTGGGTGGGAGGGGTTCAAAACAAGGTGATATCGCGTTACAATTACAATTAAGATGGTCTACGAATTGATTATTAGGTGTAGAGAATTGCGGAAACGTTTCCTCACCCAGAAGGCGGTGAGAATCTGGAATGATCTGTTCCCCAACAAGGCCATCGGGACTTCTGGCTTTTGACTGCTAATTAGCGGAAGAGAAATTAATCTGACTTTTTGTTTAGTAAAAAGCTAAGAGACCCTACTATAATTAGGTGGATTTTTTGGAGGGGTTAATGTTGGATAAAATATTTAGAGGGCTCCATTGACCTACACACCCCCTTCCTCGGGAGAAGGACAAAAAATGGAAGGGGGCGGGGAGAGAGAGAGAATCGGAATAAATGCATTTTAAAACCCTTTCATTGCACAAATGCTGCTTTTGAGGGAATGATTAATGAAACTAAGTACTTTATTGTGCACTAAAAAGTACTGGCCTTGAACAGAAGGACTTTATCTGTCCCCTGAAGCCCTTAGGTCATTCCTTAACACGCTCAAACTGCAGACCTCGCCTGCTACTCTGACCTTGTCGGGCTCTCCTGTTCACACAGTCAAGGAATGTTTTTACTTTTTCAAAATAAGATCCCTATCGGGGTGACAAATTGTCTCAGTCTTAGCCTTAAGAGCACAGTTATAACATTTAAGATTGCCTAGATTTTTGGAATAAGCCATTTAGAGTGAAATCAGGGGCAGTTTTTCAGCCAAAGGGTGGTGGAAATCTGGAACTCTCTCCCTCCTCCAAAAGGCTGTGGATTATGGCTGGATCCATTCACATTTTCAAGACGGATGTGGATGAATGCTAGGTCAGGGCATCAAAAGATACGGAGCAAAGATGGGTAATTGGAGTTATGGTACAGATCAGCCATGATCTTATAGAATGGCAGAACAGGCTTGAGGGGCTGAATGGCCTACTCCTGTTCTTATATATAATACCTATATTTTGAAGCAGCCTTAATTTGTAAGACGATTTTCAATCCCTTTTGTGGATGCTCGCTGATATTGAAACACAGAGAAATGATGACTCAAGAATGTGTGTTTTTTGTGTTTTTAATCCGCAGGTGCTTTGCTTATCCTGGGTGGCATCATGTTGAATCTAATAGCAACTGGTATGTTACTGAGGCCAATCTATCTCCGTGAAAACCAGCCGATGACCACCAATGTGCAGTGCTTGACAAATGCACATGGAGGGTACTGCCAGAATGGGTTGATGAGACCAGTTGCTTTCGAGAACCATTCGGAGGACTGTATACTCACGGTGAACAGCCACATTGGGATGGAGGACAAAGTGAATGACTGCAAGACCAAAGCAGGAATGGAGTCCAACGCTGTGCTCGATGACAGTCATTTCTGGGAGAAAGTAACTTACAAAGCAGCTCAGAATGAGACTGTTGAGTTGGTGAGCAGTGAGGGGGAAAGCCAGAAACATCCACCCACGGAGAAACTGCTGGATTTCTCGCTGCTCAAAGACCCTTTCTTTTGTATATACACCTTCTCAGTGGTGTTCAGCCAACTGGCCTACTTCATTCCTTACTTTCACCTGACAGCAAGGGCCAAGACCCTGGGCATCAACGCCATGGATGCGTCCTTCATCATTTCTGTGGCAGGTGAGCCATGGTTGAGGTAGTTCCAGTCTCCGCTGTTTATTAAATCTCTTTCTTTTATATTCCTCCTACCTCTCAATGGCCCAGAGACAAAGGCCCCAGTGCTAGACTGTGTGTATCTCGAAGGTTCCAATCCCAACACCGTGCACTGCTTGTAGTAGCTGATGTGATGTAATTGACCCTAGCTGCCCTTGGGTTATTATCAGCCAGTGTTTCTGCTCCTAATGACTGTCCAATGTTTTCTCCCCGATCACTGGTAAGTCTATATGGATGTCCCTCTAGGACAAGACACTTGTGCAGAACAGGGCGCTCTTCTGTACTGAAGTACGTAAATAATAGGGTCTAAAATTCTAAATAATAAATCTCATTAGAAGGCCTGCAGATCAGTGAGAACTCCACTCCACTCCAGAAGTAGATTTGAGCAAAGTTCCTATATGTACACCCAAGCACTGCAATTAATCCCAACTGCATGACTCCCATTCCTTCTTAATGGCAGGTTTAAAAAGGAGATAGATAGATAGATGGAGACTTGGGAAGAAAGGGGTTTATGGGTATGGAAAAAAGGGATGAATAGATCTGCCACAATCTGATAAAATGTTGGAATAGATTTGATGTTACTATCCTTAACCAGTATGAAACTCATAAATAAAACTTTAAAAAAATTGGGCTCAGTGATCAACTACAAAATTGTAATCACGTTCACCCAGCTTGTAATTGTAAATAATGTCTTTTGACTAGAATTATGGTTTATATTCCAGGAATTGAATTCCTAAGGGATTCACTTTGGAATGAAGAGCTCATGTAAGTGATTATATGGAACAGACTCCTAACAAAAGCAGTCTGTGCTGTAATCGATTAACTCCTTCAATAAAGAACTGGATAAATATCTGGTTGGGAACGTATATAGAGACAGGCTCAGATTGAGACGGGCACAAATATTCTATGGGAGGCAAATAGTTGTGAAGTGAATGGCCATTTTATCTGGAGGATTGTTGGCCAGGATATCGGGAGAAAGAAACTCCCTTCTCTTTTCCTTTGTTTAAAGGTCTGAAGTACAGCACCTGTGAGAACAGTGTTCCCTACTACTGCGTTGGAGGGTCAGTCAGGCTAAAATATGAGCTCAAATTTCCGATATGGATCTGGAATTCACAACTAAGACACAAAAATGCTCCCAAATAGTAGAGATGTGGGAGTGGACGTTTTTGCTTGATTGACTATGGGATTCCGGTGATCTCTTTGGGAACTTCCAAGGAGATGGACTGGATGGGAGAGAGGTTAATGAAAGAGAGTTGGTTTCCCAGTGTTGGTGGAGAGATGCCTCAATGAATCAGACAGACTTTCTAGTTTCTCTACCTTTTCATGTCATTAATTAAGGTTGCAGCTTCGTCGCTCTCAAAACCAACTCCTTGTAAGGCAGGAGTGAGGGGAGGGGTGGGAGAAATGGGATATAATAGCAGCCAGTTTAACATGGGGAAGGAACCAAGAGTGCCAATTATACATAATGACCATTTACTCTGTTGCAGTTTATGAATAGAAAGCTAGGTTCTCTGTTGTCAATCGCTATCGCACTACACATTTTGAGAGAGGCTGTGCTCTTGTCCCTGGATACAGTTACACCCGGCCCATTGCTGCCAACTCTCAAAGTGCTGTTCTCAAGGAGGGTTGGCACTGTGTGGACCCGAGCCTCTCTATTGAATTGGACTCCCAGCCAAGCTGAAATCGCTGAGCCTGGCTATTTTGGAGTCTTGGACACGAGACAAGTTCCATGCGAATAAGACAGTCCTAGCGAGCCAGAGCCTCCGGGAAGGACGCCAAGTGATCAAACCCATTACAGTAATTCATGAGGGACTCAGCACGAGGTTTTCAGCACCAGGCAACTGTGAAATGAAACGTCGTAGCAATGTTCTTCTCTGACCGTGGGTGGCATACAGACTGTTTACCCCCTGCGATTTTGGTTCCTTTCCAAGGCCAATAATAATAGCAATAATAATCCTTGCATTTGCTATAGCGCCTTATCACATCGTCAGGACATCTCAAAGTGCTTCACATAATGTATTGTAAAATGGATTGACTGTGTATTTGGTGAGCAAACCCCGGCAGCCAGTTTTACGCACAGCAAAGGGTGACAGTTTATTTCACCCTGCACAGATTTAGAAGGTCCCAGGTGCTATTCCCCTCCACACCCAGATCGGGTCATGATAGGATTGGTCTCAGTGTCTCTTGGGTTAGTGGGGTTTGGGAGTTGGGGAGAAAGAAGGGGAATGATGACAGTATTACCAATCTGTGTCCTGGATGACAAAAACAAAGATGTGACACTTGGAGACCTCAACTAAGGTTAGACCAAACATTTGAGCCAATGTCAGGGAGAGAGAGAACATAATTACTTCCAAAATCAAGCCATAAGATGGGTTGGATCTTGCTTTTCAGCAATGTGATAATTTACACTAGAGATAATTCTGAAAACTCTGGAAACTTACCAAGTGCTATAAGATGTTACCCTGTGTGAATGGTACTATATAAATGTAAGTGAATTTGATATAGCTCCTTATCACGTCTTCGAGACGTCTCAAAGCACTTCAAAGTGAATTCACTGTATATTTTGTGGGTGAAACGTGGCAGACAATTGCGCACAACAGTTGTTGTTGTTGAGGGCACTTCAGGCTAAAGCCAGGCTAATTTTACCTAATTGGTAAGTTCAGGATTGTAGCGACAAATGTCAAATGAAAACGACAGACTGGGAAAAATGTCACTTTGTGTGTTTACAGCATTACCCACAAGGTGAGACTCTCCTGTTGATTTCAGAAAGTTCTAAGTACGATCAGCACTTAAAGCAGTTTAAACATAGAAACCCTCATACACGCCTTCATTACATCGAGGCTCGACAATGCAAAGCTCCCCAACTCCTCCCTCCATAGGCTGCAGATCATCCAGAACTCTGCAGCCCGTGTCCTCTCCCGCACCAGGCTCCGTGACCCTATTATCCCCATCCTCGCCCAACTCCACTGGCTTCCCATCACACAGAGGGTACAGTTCACGATCCTGGTCCTCACCTTCAAAGCCCTCCATGGTCTTGCTCCCCCCTACCTCTCCGACCTCCTAACCCTCTACCTTCCTGTTCGCTCCCTCTGCTCAGCGGGCTCCAGCCTGCTTCACATCCCCGCCTCACTCGCCCCACTATTGGCCGACAGGTCTTCTGCCACTCTGTCCCCCACCTGCTGGAATTCTATCCCGCAATCCCTCTGCCTCGCCCCCTCCCTCGCCATCTTCAAGACCCACCTCAAGACCCTCCTCTTCGACCATGCTTTCGATCTTCCTGCTTCCACCCCACCCTCCCCCACCCCGACCCTCAGCTCGGGTCTGAAACTCTGTCTGTCCAGAGCCTTGGGACGTCCTCCCGAAGTGAAAGGCGCTATACAAATGTAATTTTGTTGTTGTTGTTGAAGCGTCTAGCAATTTTAAACTCATTTTATTTAGCTTTGTAAATAGCGCCATCTGGTTAATCAGCAGACCAGCACCATCTAGTGACAGAGCTAGGAACAAGAGAATAATATGTTGAGTCTGTTCCATCAGTTCGTGAAATCCTGAAAGATCTTTTAATCCCATTTCCTTGCCTTTTCCTTCTCAAGTATCTACTGTCTCCATTTAAAACATCCTGATGGATTCTGCCTCTACAGCTTCCTGGGGCAGTCGCTCCACATTCTCCCAAAGCAGTGTTTGGAAAGATTTCCTGTTGCATGTAACATGTCTTTTATAATGAACATACTTGGACTAACTCAGTTTAAATAAATTAAGTAACTTGTTATTAGCAAGGCATTGTGACCAATACTGTATCCCTCTCCTGGTTTGTAAACGGTAACCCTTGCATTTGATTATAGCACCTATAATGTTGGAACACCTCAAAACACTCCACAGGTAAGTTGCTTGTAATTGTACACAAACCTTATCACATCGTTCAACTGTCTCAAAGCGCTTCACAGAATATCCTGTGAAGTGGGTCGACTGTGTAATCGAAAAGCTATACAGAAACAACCAATTTGCACTCTTGTGAAATATCTCCCAATGAAACTATATCAACAGCTGAGGGACAGTGGAATATCATCTTCTCCTCTAACTGTGTGTCTCTTGTGTGTTTACAGGGATAACCGAGACGGTGGCCCAGCTAGCGTCAGGATGGATCGCTGACCAAAACTTCATCAACAAGTACCATTACCACAAGGCCTACCTTCTGCTGTGCGGGCTGTCCAACCTGCTGGCTCCGCTGGCAATAACGTACGGGCAACTGATGGTCTATGCCGTGTCGTTTGCTGTATTCTGTGGTGGATATATGGCTCTACTGCTTCCTGTTCTGGTAAAGACCACCGTCCCATTTCACTGCCGCCCACCTCATGCTAGGACGTTGCTAGCCCAGATTAGCTGCTGCATTTGACAATGCAACATTCACTTTACTTCTATTTAAGCTACTTTGCAAGGCGCTGCCTGGCTTTAACACAAAAGAAGGCATCAGTTTAGCTGGGTATCAAAAACGTGGCATTTGCCCAAAAGCTTTTTTTTTTTTCGGACAGTTTCCTTGGCCAAGAAACTGCTCCAAAAAATGCAACCAACGGTTCAGAAGACAAAAGGCCAGCTTCAGGAAGAATTGTCTTCCCTTTTGATGAATTTGCTAGCAAATTGCACAATTCCTACCTGGAATACAGGGCAGTGGAGCTGCTGGGTCCAAAATAAATAGTATAGCTACTGGCTCTATGTCCCTGGTATCCATCTACCATAGACTAATGTGGTCCCATGTTTATCTCCTTGCAGGTGGACCTGGTTGGGGTGACCAGGGTGCGAAGCTCTTTGGGATTCTCCATGTTCTTTGCTGGTATTGGCTGTCTGACTGGGCCTCCAGCAGCAGGTAATCAACTCCATCCAAGGCCCCAAAATTCTACCTAGTCTTAGCCTGGAAGACTATTTTACCTGATCAATGTAAGATCACACAGGATTGGGGATACTTCAAATTCAGGCAGGCTTCATTTGGAAACTGGACGTCCACACCCCCAACCCCCCTCGCACCCAAAAACTATAGAAGACCCGCTAAGACCAGGTGGAATTTTGTGCCCTAGGTTTCCTTTCCTGAAAATTAAAACTATTGAACCTCATTCACAATGTGACGAGTGAAGCTGAATCAATAGAAACCATTCAAAAGAGAACTGGATAAGCCCCTGACCATTACCGTATCGTAACCTTGATAACCTCGAAGACCTCAGTTCTAGTGAAAGAAGCCGCAAGTTGTCAGTCCTGGTCACTAACGTTTGCTTGTAAACCTCCTAGGTTGGCTGTATGACTACACACTGTCCTATGACTGCTCCTTTTACCTGGCTGGCGGATGCTACATCCTATCGTCGGTCTCAATCTTCTTGGAGCCCACGGCACGAAGGTATAAGGCAAGGAAGCAAGCAGAAACAACGATGGTGAAACCCGAACCCATCCCAAACAAAGGCTACCTAGTCGAATACAATAGGCAACTCATGCCATCCAACACCAACCCTGAAAAGCTGGAACGCATCACCTCAGTATAAAGCAGACTTGCTGAATGTATCTAATAAGGAAATATAATGTCAGATTCATCGGGAATATCATGATGTGTCACAAGATGCACCATGGTGATTTAAAATACGTGTAAACTTGTGAATTTTTGTACTCATCAAAATGAGGAGCTTCAGTGACGGGCATGGAGCCATTTTCTAACTCTTCCACACCAACATTCGGTTGAGATACATCATGGATCCAACGCAGAGCAAAGCTCCCTCTCACTCCTCCCTGCCAACTTGCCTCAATGCCAAATGCAGAAGTTACAGTTGGCAAATGCCAAGCTGCACGAGCCTTATATTTCCACTCACCGCGGAAGTTCCTGTAAGATTGTTCGTGACGTTGCTAATTTCTGTGATAATCTGGGGGTAGGTGTGGGGGGGGGGGGGGTGTTGTGCAAGCGGCTGTGTCTACAAGGAACAAGTTTAAGTCTTCCCGTAACTCATTACATCCAGCAGAGAGAGAGAGACTTTCAATCTATTATTAGCCAGATTCAAGCCCAGACTCCCAAACAAGAACAGTGTGTTCTGCACAGTGGAAACCACAGGAAAAAACTGCTCCAGCAAGAATCTTCCAACACTTTGATAGGGTGGAGTTTGCCTTCCGAATAACATGAAAACCCACGTACGCACAACTTAAAACCATGATAATCAAAACTAGTCAATGAGAATAATCTCTGTAGGGATTTAGTTAACAAGTTACACCTAAAGCCTAGAAAATGGCATTGTCGGGCTCCCCCGTGCATTCTACTTTTTGTTCAATTGGCCTCCGGTTTCTAATATTCCTTAAAGAGCTTGTGGACTGTGCAATAATCAGTAAATACACTTACATTTAATACGAGAAGTTCTCAATCAGTTAATATGAAACTCAAACATCAAATCTGAAACTCGGTTGGTAACAAGAACTTTTCTACTCATCACTACGTGTCAAATGATTGCAGCTGTCAACATTAGATAAGCACCTCTGGCACCAGTGTTTTGCATTTGCCACACGCAAGTTACTACCACTGATAAATTATAACCATTTAAAAAAGCAGCGTTAAACTACTCTTTTTGACAATCAGTAATGCATTGGCCGAGGAAGACGCTTTTAACGTCAAACGAATGTGGCGAATCCGATTTTAAAAAACACATCAATGAGGATTGAGATGGATCTATGATGTACTAGCTTAGTTTAATATCTAATTTAGAACAGAACAGAGATTGCAGTTAAGCTGAAGTTTGCTCCAATTCACTTCACAGCTGCTGCAGGATCTTGTTGTTCGCAAAATGGCTGCCATATTTGCCTACAAAGATACAGTCACTACACTTGACGGCAATTACCTGTGAAGCGCTTTGTGATGTTTAGACATTATAGGCGCTTCATAAAGTGCAAGGGTTATTAAATAAAAAAAGTTATATTTAAACAAGGGTCATTTACTTTATATTGGGGTACCTCACGATTGTGGTGAAACATTTAAGCGTTGGAACGCAAGTTATTCTCTTTCCTGAGAACCAGCTACAAAGAGCCACTTGATTCCTAATTAATTTCATTCTGTAAAGTGCTTTAAAACTATTTTACTTGAGAAGCCTATAAAATGTAAATCTAAGTAAATCAATTTTATCTCCTTATTGATTCAAGAATTTCCAGCTTTCAAGTGCAAAGTACTTACCCATCATTTCTCTACCTCTAGATAACAATTGTCAACAGTGCTTTCTATATGAGCGCAGTCTCTGGTGTAAGGTAGCTTGTAATGGGTGGGTAAAGTGTAAGCCCTTAGCAGCTTTGCATGGGTGGGCTCTACTTGGAGCTTGCCCAGGCTGGTACCACAAGAGTTAGCAGGAGCAAATATTTGTTTTTGTTGTTGAATACAGGTGTTCATTCTCTCACACAGATGATCCAGTGAGTAAATCTAGAGGCAACAGAGCGGCTTCATTCATAAGCAGCATAGCTGTGGAGATTCTCGCTCTATAAAACCAGAGCGAGAATCTCCACAGCAATCTGGAGAGGCTCTGAATCCAGTTGCCAGACATGAAACCCTATCAATAAGCACCAATTGATTATATGTAGAAAAAAACATGCTATATATCGTATTCAGCATAGGATACAAGTCACTGAGAAGAACGGATTGAAAGACTCTTTCATGTATGTAAAGACCTGTAACATGCAAACAATAACCGTGGTGACATTTCACAGGTGTGGACACATTATGAATATTGACAACAGCAGAAAAGACACATGAGCTTCTACAAAAGAAAAACTTTTATTAAAACACATGGAAAACAACAGGACAATTTCTTGAAAATACATCATTTGCTTTATCATAGTCTATTGCTATAAATCCTACCAGCATTGAGCACCTATCACTTATCTCTACAATTACCAATGCATTCTATGATTAGAATCATTAGAACAGATTTGTTTAAACAAAAAAAGGACTACCCTGAAATCAGATATTGCCCAGGTTAACCTGAACACTTGAGTTCAAAGATGTCCCACTTACATGGGGCAAAAGTTTGCTCCTTAGTTGCCAAACAGCTTTGACAACAGTTTACAAGCAGCCGAGTGATTTTGTGTCAATCTTCTGTAAAATAGTCAAACCTTCCTCTTCAACTATGCCCTCCGTCACCACCCCCCCACCCCCCACAGGCACAAACCTCTCCTCTTCAGAATCCAACCCCCAGCTCAGGTGCCTTGGGACATCCTTCCGACATAAAAGCCACCACATACATGCAATTTTTTGTTGTAGCTTTGCTCACCTGTTAATGTAAAGAGCGGGTTGCAATACACAAGATTGAATTGGGATTATGTAGATTGTTCGGCGAAGACTACTCTCTTCACTGCGAGTTTGCAAAAGCGATAGCAACAAAATACAGCATGAACATCAGGGCTTCCCTATAGCAGGCTGAAATGTAAGCCAAAACTCTCCTTACCTGAATATGGTGATGCAATAAAACACAAGGGCCTGTGGATTAACAAGAAGGCAGATGTTACAGAGATACTATTCTTGCAGTGCTCAACAAACTATTGAGTAGCCTTTGTCATCCACATCAAATTGGCATTCCTTCACTATTCCATGAAATGCTTCTTGGCAGCTGCCTACCCTAAACCATCCTCACCCTGTGCCCTCTTATCCTGATAAATTTGTGCATCAGAAAGTATCATTCTAGGTTTACTTAATGATAATAATCCTTGTATTTGATATAGCGCTTTATCACGTCTTCAAGACCCCTCAAAGCGCTTCACAGAATATACTGTAAAGTGAATTTACTGCATATTTTGTGGGTGAAATTTATTCTCAATAAACACTGTAAAGTTCTCTGAGATAGCCCTTTTCAAGGCTAAAGATTCCTGGTTAAACTGATCATTCTTCACAGCTCATAGCTCCTCCAACATTTGGGGATCAGTCCCATTACTCTCTTCTGCTCTTGCTTCCACTCCATGGACACACTCCTGAGATGGCAAACATCAGACTCAAAATACTACCGCGGTGTGATCTAGTGAAGATACTAGCTAATGTCTCCCATCCCCATTCCTCCCAGACCACCATCCTTAACGAAGGATCTCTGCTCTTACCTGAAGTTGCGATTAACGGATTTACTGGTATCTGCCATTAACTTCAACAGGTCAGGTCCCACAACAGCCCAGATGTTTTCCTTCAACAACCTACATCACAGTTACCAGGCAGGAAGCACATCACCTAAGAGTACAACAGCGACTTTGATAACCAGTAAACCTTCCAATCACAGCCATTTTGAACCATGGTTTTAAAATGACAAATTGGGGAGGTTCCATGGAGACTGTGTGATGAGACGTTGGGCAGAGAAGAATCCCACAAGCATCCTCATGTAACATTCCCTGTTTGATCGTGCCTTTAAGAAGTGTTGAGTAAGGCTCCAAACATTCCAATGGACAGGGAGTTGAGCTCATAGCTCCACCACTCCCCAACACTGCCTTATTAAAGTTACTCCACCAGCCCAGACCAGTGAATTGCGTGTGGAAACAATAGGGTAGAAAGAGACAAGAAAAACAAAGATGCATTTACCAGGGTAATCAAGTAGAGTTTAGCAATGCAGTATTGTAGGACCAGGGAAGCCATCGCTGAACGTGAAGGTAAAAGCATAAATGAAAGATTTTAGAAATCACTTACCTGGAAAAGTGTGCTTAAGAGCGGGATATATTCATCCTACCTTTCAGTCTGAGGATCTGAATCTACACAGTGGCTGACACTCCAACATGTAGCCCATTACCTCACAAGTGTTTTCCCCCCTCCCATCGGGTGTTTAGCTATGGCTTAAGGTGTAACCGTCTGATAAAGTAGCAGCTCTTACTGCGGCTTGGGACATCTTCCCGACCTGAAAGAGCTTTACAAATGTAATTTTGTTGTTGTTACAACCAATTTAAACACGCCATTCGCTACAAGGAGAAATTAGACAACACATCATTTCCTTTAAAGACCATAAATTCTCTAGAAACATGGGGGAGTGGGGGAAGGAGAGAAAGAGGCAGCGCATCTTATGCTCATTAATATAAGGGATGCGAGCACTGGAAAATGGAACACTCACTACTATTTATCAATTGGATACTTATATCATGCAGTCTCCAATCATGTACAGAATGCATTAGATGCAGAGTGAAGCTTCCTACTTCAATACAGGCACATGTGCAGGATTTGGTGGGTGAATGGGGGGAAGGAAGGATGGAATCTAACAGTACAATCAGAATTGTGATAAAGGTTATGGTAACCTAACCCTAAAAGCATTACGATTTATAATTGAAACAATTATACAGGTCAGGATTCAAACGCAGCACAATAACTTTTACATACACCAAAGTAGCAGGAAAGAGGAACAGGTTTCAGGAGCGAGAAGGGTCATTTCAGGACAGAAAGGAAGCTGGTACTCATTACCTAGTGCAGGATCACGGGAGAGAAACTAGATGATGAGTGGACACATGTTCGCAAGGGAAACTCACACTTAATCTTTGCTAACTGTCTCCAATAAACACAGTGCAAGTGCACAAACGCTGAGTTCACGCTGTCTGACTGATCAGCTGCCTCATTGGTTTCAAGCCTCTCATCCTGTAGAGAACATTTATTTCTAAACTTGGACAAATTCCACAGAGACAGGGGATATTTTATTATTCGGGACTGGCATCAGACCAGAACACAATAGCTACTGTAAAGGAAAGCCTCACCGTTTCATATGGATAAAGTCTCCATTTATGAGACTGTATAAGACTCCCCAGAGAGCCATAAGGAAAACCAGTATTGCAATAGTATGAAAGCATGTATTCAAGTAATGCTGCAGTTAACGATTTGTCGACAACATTCTACAAGCACACAAGGTAATTAAGTTGCTGTAGCAATTTTACTGCATCCATAAGCAAATCTATACAAACTTTGGTCATAAATAACTCATTTAAAATGCTGAGCAGAGCCCTTTAGATAGTGCATTTATTGCTGAGTACATTGTGGGGAAAAATGGGAGGACATAATAATAATAATCCTTGAATTTGGTATAACGCATTTCACATCAGGACGACGCCGCAAAGTGCTTCACAGGATTTTACTATGTGAGTGATTTGTGCATTTTGTGGGTGAAACGTAGATTTTTGTGTAGTTTTCAAGACAAGACAATTAGAATAAAAAATGCACTTAAATTGGATAGCATCTGTTAATTCTGGAACAATTCAAGATTGGGAACCTAAAGATTTAAAACCGATCATCTTAAGGGAAGTTTTTAGCGATAGCTGATTGTGTCAGCAAAAGAGAGGGTAGGTAAAGAGGTCTAACTTATAGTATTTCTTTCTGTGCTGGCATAACATGCTTTAGATTATCATAGTACTAATTCCAGGAAAACAATTAAGAAATACCCCACATTAGAGACCATGATGTAGGAATTTTAAAATGTAATTTATTTTGGTTTTGCAACCAGTTAGATGTTAATGTTGACCATTAACACCCCAGATCAGTTAGTTAGACTACAATGCTCTTTTCGAGTCCTGAACTCTATGGTATTATAAACATCCTTTGTTCATTTTCTTAACGGGCTTCAACTGCATTAAACACAATTGCAAAGTGCCCATTATGTAAAAGAAACATCTCTTTAACAAGATTTTTACAGAATGATGAATTAGAAATTAAATGAATATTATGTGCCAATTAATTAAACGTTATAACATACACAACTCAATGTGAATGGAGGA